ATTTAAAATTATGATTTTTAAAAATTATGATTTTTACTAGAACATTCGGTCATAATATGATTATTCAGATCATCCAAATTGCCCTCTCAGGATAGAGCCTTTTATCTAAAATCAGTAATCTATTTTAACAGCATAATTCCCTTCTCTCTTATGTAAACATTTACTTCCAAAGTAAGCATGGTTACATGACACAAGGAAGAGCAGGTGATTGACATGTACTTAAAAGAAGACTGATGGGATAACAAAATAAATAACTTTATCGTTGGTTCTAACGCTAAGGTCCTGTGATTCTACAACTTTGGGAATCAAAATCAGGAGACTTGGATTTGATTCCTAGTTCAGCCATTAACTTCTTTTGCAACCTTAAGCAAGTCACTTAACACCTCTGGATCCAGATTCCTCAAGGTGGGAATGAAGGGGTGGGTTAAAGTGTCGATTTTCAAACTGTGTGGAGGAACCCTGAACAAAGAGGGAGACAGAGAAAAAAGCCAAGGGAGAATCTCTGGCCCTCATTCCTCTTTCCACTAGAGTGGCACCTTTAATGTGGGAGCAAGGTAAGATTTCAATTAAATCTTTTTTTTTTTTAACTTGAATATCACTCTTAAGCCTAAAACCTCCATGATACTTGAAAATGTACTGAAGTCTGCAACTTACTTAGAAATGCATCCACAAAAATAAGACAGTGGAATAGTTACATGGACAGATATGTGGTAAAGCAAATAATGTAAAATGATAATAGTAGAATCTGGATGGTAAAAGGTTTATAGGTACTTGCTGTAAAATTCTTTCAACTTTTACATTTTTTTTTTTGGAGACAGAGTCTCACTCTGTTGCCTGGGGTAGAGTGCCGTGGCGTCATCCTAGCTCACAGCAACCTCAAACTCCTGGGCTCAAGCGATCCTTCTGCCTCAGCCTCCCGAGTAGCTGGGACTATAGGCATGCGCCACCATGCCTGGCTAATTTTTTTTCTATATATTTTTAGTTGTCCAATTAATTTCTTTCTATTTTTAGTAGAGATGGGGTCTCGCTCTTGCTCAGGCTGGTTTCGAACTCCTGAGCTCAAACAATCCGCCCGCCTTGGCCTCCCAGAGAGCTAGGATTACAGGCGTGAGCCACCGCGCCCGGCCTCAACTTTTACATTTGAACATTTTCATAACAAAATGTTATGGGGGGAATAACTTTATGATTCCAAATTATTTTAAACATTCACCTTATAAAGATCACAATAATATTATAATATAGGGTCCTCATATGGATAAGGAGAAGTCACACTAAATAATTAATAGGGATGGAAATCAGGCTTATTCATATCTAAGAGTCTAAAACAAGATTCCCAAGTAACTTATGGAAGCCAAATCTTCAATATGGAAGAGAGTAAGTCCCATTTTTAAAAATTTCATGATAAAATTTAGACTCATAAAGCAACCTTCCTAGTAAATTCCATTAAGGCATCCTTTGTGTGTTTATTTTTTTCTCATTTAAAATCACTCTTAAAATTCAAGTGTATTCCATTCCTGATTTTTTCCTACTATATATAGATATTTAACTCCATTTTTCCCCCAATCCCTTTTTTTTTTTTGAGACAGAGTCTCACTCTGTTGCCCTGGCTAGAGTGAGTGCCGTGGCATCAGCCTAGCTCACAGCAACCTCAAATTCCTGGGCTCAAGCAATCCTACTGCCTCAGCCTCCCAAGTAGCTGGGACTACAGGTATGCGCCACCATGCCTGGCTAATTTTTTCTATATATTTTTAGTTGTCCAGCTCATTTCTTTCTTTCTTTCTTTTTTTTTTTTTTTCTTTTAGTAGAGACAGGGTCTTGCTCTTGCTCAGGCTGGTCTTGAACTCCTGAGCTCAAACAATCCGCCGGCCTGGCCTCCCAGAGTGTTAGGATTATAGGCGTGAGTCACCGCACCGGGCCTTCCCTAATCCGTTTTTCATCAGTTCTATGTAACTCCATTTTATTTTCAACTGGGATCACGTGTTTATCCTGCTTGCCTTTCTTATTATATCATGAGTATTTTCTCCTTATTAAATATTCAAAAGCAACTTAAAGGCAGCCTAGAATTTTAGGATGTACATGTACCATATTATAAACATTTTTTATTCTTAAGCATTTAGTTCATTCTGATTCTTTCTTCAAAGTTGAGATTAATATTCATATATATTAATAATGTTTCCCTGATTACTTCCTCAAGATAAATTCCTAGAAATGCTAGAAGAAAGATCAACATCTTTAAGATACTCGCTACATGTTGCAAAACTGCCTCCAGAAAAGTGGTACTAGCAATTTACATTCCTACCAGTGTTATATAAGCAGCCTATTTCAAGGCACTAGGTTAACAATGAACATCATCATTAAAAAAAAAAAAGCTGCCCATTTGATAGGTGAACTATGCTATTGTACTGTTTTAATTTTAATTTTTGCAGAGCAGATTAATCAGTGAAGCGCATTGGCTTTGGAATTAAACAGCTAAGGGTTCAAGCTCCAACTCTGCCAAATAGCTACATAAAAAAGCTAGTTAGATAATTTTTCTCATTTCTCACACCCAGTTGTTATAAATATCAAAGGAGATAACATATGTCAAGTACTTACTTACCTACTATAGTGCCTGGCATGTAATAAGCTGCCGATTACTATCATTTCTTTTTAAATGTGCTGACTTGTAGTAAGTTAACAGAAGGATACAATTGTCCTGTTGGGCCAACATGCTTAAAATACAAAATCAGCCACTGCAACAGCTGATTGAACTGTTTAAAGGAAGGAGAAGGCCAGTGAAGGAATATTTTAGTAGTGGTCATAGGGAAAGGAGAGAAAATTTTATGTTTGGATCACATGTGCCTGAAGAAGACAGAGAATATATATTTAAGTGTTGAGCTATTTTTGATACCTGCCCTCAAACAAAGTTCTTAATTCCCATTAAGAGGGTAAAGTCTAAATTCACTATATTAAGTGGATATTATACTGTGGTATCTATAATAAGGACTCCCGGGAGAATTCTGAAAGGAACAGGAAACCTTGGGTAGCAAGCAAGAGAGGCTTAATAGCAGAGGAAAAGGGATCAAAAGAGATTACCCAAATTGGGGGTAGACGGTGAGAGGTGAGGAAGGTGAGCTTTACATCAAGATAAAACAGATTACTGGATCTCAGGCATTTTCCCTATGAGTAGTCAGAGTTGGGCCTTTGCCCAGAGGATCGCCAGTGCCTGATGACCTGCTCTTCAAAGATGAGAAAGGGCCCCGCAGCAGGCAAGCTTCTCTCTGAAGCATCATTACTCAAAGTGCAGGTTGTGACCCATTACAGACTTGTAATCAATTTAGTGAGTATGACAAGTTTTTAAAAAATTAAATCATACAGGAAAAATAGAAAATAGAGTGCCTCACATGTAGTAGTACATTATTCTGCCTCATAGTAACTCGCTTAATATTTCATAGAAGTTAAATTCAAATTATTTCATTTGAGGACTACATACTTAAATTCTAAACTAAAACTGCTATAAATTTTAGTTTCATTTCTTCTGAGATAACAGCATTGTATTATTTACTTGTTCCAAGAATTACTCTCGGTCAACTATTATGTCAAGTTACATACCACGTACTTCAGTGCTACCCAAAGTAACATCCTTTAGAAACATTTATGACAATAAACTAGTCAATTACACATGAAATAATTCTACCAATTTGTTAACCTCAAGTTTTATACCATATAACAAAATAGATAACCTGTATTTTATAAGGACATATCTTAATGCATTCAGATGGCTTAAATTTCTAAATCTCTTACAAAGAAATCAGGAAAATCATTAATATTCCTAATAAAACAGATGAGCAGTCAGTTGCTAGTAAGTCTCTTTTCAAAAATTATTTGCTTACAACATCAGAACAAAATTTCTATTCTATTAAAAAAAACTGCTCGGAAAAAAGCTGCATTCAAAATAAAGAGGGTAGAGCCAGGCATGGTGGCTCACACCTGTACTCCCAGCACTTTGGGATGCTGAGGCGGGAGGATCACTTGAGGCCAGGAATTTGAAACCAGCCTGAGCAACAGAGCAAAACCCTATCTCTACAAAAAAATAAAAATAAATTAGCTGGGCATGGTGGTATGCACCTACAGACTCAGCTATTAGGGAGGCTGAGGCAGGAGGATTGCTTGAGTTCAGGAGTTCAAGGTTACAGTGAGCTATGATCGAGCCATTGTACTCCAACCTGGGCGACAGAGTTAGATCTCATCTCTTAAAAAAATAAAGAGGTTATATAGGTTACCTATGTCCAACCCAAGTGTGTACCAAGGTGTGTTCAGGCAAAGGTTTCTTCTGGTTTTAAAATGACAAAGTCTGTAGTTTTTCCTTTAATTTTATAAACACAAAAATGCTAGTTCATAGCTTAAAGTTTTAAAAGAAATAGTTATAATCCAAAGCCTTTTAAATATTTTCTCACATTTGCACAATAACAATCTTTCAATTTATTTTTCTGAAGCATCTGTAAAAGGTTCTGAAGCATCTCTAAAAGATTGAAAAATAAGTATCATTTTATGTATCATGTATACTCCAGAGGATGTATGAGCTTCCTTGCTCTACCTTCTTAGGAAAAACACTGTGGTCAGAGACTTGGTCTGGCCTTGTCCTTTGTACCTTACTTTCTCAGACCTCAGAGAAGGGTTTCAAGCAGAGAGAAAGGCTGGGCAGGACTCCAGGCCATGTTCGATATGACAACCAAAATCAGAAAATATAAGTAATATTTTAGCTTATCAATGCTTTAATTTTCTCAAGATATAAGGCATATATGTACATTAGAATAAAGTCTTACTCTGTATGCTGTCCCAAAATACCCCTGAAATACCTTTTATTTGTGGAGATAAAAAACAGTTGAAATTAGTTTCCAGAATAAGAAAAATTTTACTTTACCACACTTCTCAAATTGAAAGCTTTGAAAATATGTACTTGAGCTTGGGGGCTCTGTACTGGTAATTAACATAGTACTTTTCCCCTTAATCTTTTGACTTATTTAATAATTCAGACAAAAACTACATTCTAAGTATCTTCAGTAAAATCTTCCCCTACAGTTCTTGGTGGATGTAATATCAGGTACATATTAAGTTCAAAACATCAATTTTTATTTAAGCATCTAGTACTTACTCAAGGAGGAACCATGTAAAACTGCACAGTTGGGACAGTGGTACAGGTCAATGTCAACAGCATGATGTTCTTCTACTCCCACACAGCTAAGACAAAGAAAAATAAAGTCAGTATGTCAATAAGTTGAAATCTTTACTTAACTATAATACAGTGGTTAGAATTTAGCTGAGAAATGTACAACCTCACCAACACATTTTATAGAGCACAGAAACATATATAAGGGGAAATTTTATTCTCTTCTTTACAAGCTTGCTAAATAATTGTGGGGAAGAATGTACCCAAATATATGCGAAGTGATTCACTCTTAGCAGCAGCAGAGACATCAGAAATAACTAACTGCACACCATAAAACCCTCAACTATTATGTAAATGCCACCTGTTATAGAATGAATGTCAGTAAGATATGAGTCAAAAGATAAATCATAATGAAAATCTGAAAATTATTTTGAGCCGAACAATGAAAATACTACGTAACAAAATTTGTGGGATGAAGAGTTTATAAACAGAAATGTATAGCTTTAAATGCATGTGTTAGAAAAAAGAGGCTGAAATTAATGAGCTAAGCATCCACCTCAAGAAGTTACAAAAAGAATAGCAAAATAAACCTTAAAAACAGAGACAGAAGGAAAAATAAAGGTAAGGGGAGAAATCAATAATAAAGAAAACAAACATGTAATAGGGCATTAAAGCCAAAAATGGATTCTTTGAAAAGATTTACAAAATTGGCAAACCTCAAGCAAGATCAAGGTAAAATAAAGAAGACATAAATAATCAACATTAGGAATGAAAAGGGAGATATTATAAAAGAGGATATTATGAACAATTTTGTGCTAAGAGATTTAAAATTTCAGATATGGGCAAACCTGAATCATGAAGAAGTAGACGATGTGCATAGCCCTGTAACTATCAATTAGTAATTTTTAAATTGAGCCACAAAGAAAACTCCAGGCCCAGATGACCTCATAAGTAAGTTCTATCAAATATTCAAGGAATAAATAATTCTAATATTATATCAAATTCATTCCAGAGAGCAGGACAAAAGGACTTACTAACTAATTTTATAACAGCATAACCGTGGTATCACAACTTGGAAAGGATCATTATAGGTCGCTCTCACTTATGAGCAAAGATACAAATGTCAAGTGGGGTCTATCCCAGGAATGCAAGGTGGTTTTTAACACTAAAAATCTTAATCAGTGAAACTCATCACATTAATAGATTAAAAGAAAAAATCATATAACCATTTAAAAAGATGTAGAACAAGTATTTGACAAAATTTAACATTTACTTATGATAAAAAAGCAAACAAAACCTCTTAGCAAACTTAGAGGACACTTCCACAATCTGCAAATAACATGAAAGCAGTCACTTTAAGAACAAGACAAGTGGCCGGGCGCGGTGGCTCATGCCTGTAATCCCAGCTCTCTGGGAGGCCGAGACGGACAGATTGTTTGAGCTCAGGAGTTCGAGACCAGCCTGAGCAAGAGTGAGACCCTGCCTCTACCAAAAATAGAAAGAAATTAATTGGACAACTAAAAATATATAGAAAAAACCAGCCAGGCATGGTGGCGCATGCCTGTAGTCCCAGATACTTGGGAGGCTGAGGCAGGAGGATCGCTTGAGCCCAGGAGTTTGAGGTTGCTGTGAGCTAGGATGACGCCATGGCACTCTAGCCCGGGTAACACAGTGAGACTCTGTCTCAAAAAAAAAAAAAAAAAAAGAACAAGACGAGAACAGCTGATATTACCACTTCTGGTGAACACTGTGCTGGAGGATTTAGCTGGTATAGTAAAATAAGAAAAATAATTAAAAGGTATAGGGATTGGAAAAGAAAAACAGAGCTATCATTTGCAAATGCTGTGGTTACATTTGCAGCAAATGCAAAATAATCTATGGATAAATTATAAGAATCAATAAAAAGATTGCTAGATATTAGTACATAAAAAGTAATCATTATTTCCATATACCAAAAAAAGTGAAATAAAGCTAAAAAGTAAAATAAAACACCATGTACAACTGTATAAAGTTGCTAAGTACACTGGAGTAAATTTAACAAAAATGATGCAAGACCTTTTAAGGAAAATTATAAAACATTATTGAGAGACTTCAAAAGAAGACCTAAATAAAGGAAGATATGCATCATGATCATGGATTTGAAGTTCAATAATGTAAAGATATTAATTCTCCTCAAAGTGATTTATAGATTCAATTTAATTCCAATCTAGATCTGTGGAACCTAACAAGCCAATTCTAAAATTAATATGGAAATGTAAAAGGGCCATGAATATACAAGGTATTCTTAGGAAAAAAAACCACAAACAAAAATCCCCCAAAACTCCACCAGGTATCAAGACTTATTTTAAAGCTACAAAAATCAAGACAATATGGAACAGATGCTAATGTCCCAAAACAGATGCACGTATACATGGACACTTATGTATAACGTGAGCACTGAAGAGCACACGGCAAGAATAGACTTTTCAATATAAGGTCCTGGATACTTTCTATATATCTGTAAGGGAAACAAAATGAAATTAGACACCTATCTTGCAACATAAAAGATTGAAAATAGATTATAAACCCAAACACATACAAAAGGACAAAGTATAAAGGTGTATAACATAATATAGAAAATATCTTTATGACTCTGTGGTAGGAGGAGTTACTTAATCAAAACACAAAAAGCACTTTCCACAAGGGGAAAAACTGGTAACTTCAGAAACATTAAAATAACTTCTGTTCCCTAAACTATAAAGAGTGAAATAATAAGCCGGAGTAGTAGAAGACATTACAATACAGATAACCACCAAAGGAATTATACCCAAAATATAAACAACCCCTACAAATCAATAAGAAAAAAAGAGAACCAATACAAAAATGAACAAAAGACTTTAATAGGCATATCATACAAGAAAATCTAGTGGCTGATACACACATGAAAAGGTGTGCAGCAACCTCATAAATAACTTGCGGAAATATAAATTAAAAGCACAATAAAATACTTCAACATACCCACCAGACCAGCTAAAACTAAAAAGTCTGATGATACCAAACATTGAAGATGATGTGGAGTAACAGGAACTTTAATATACTACTGGTTGGAGTATAATTTATACAGCCATTTTGGAAAACAATTTTGCATCAAAACTGAAGAATCATATATTCTATGACCAAGCAATTCCTCTTTTAGGTAAATACACCTTAAAGAAACTCATGCACATGTGCACCAAGATACCTACTTATACAGGAATGGTTACAGAATCATTATTTGTGAAGTCTATAAACAGTAAAATGAATAAATTACAGTATATTCTCATAATAGAATTCTATATGGCAATGAAAATGAAAGAACTATAGCCCCATGCAATAAATCAGTGAATTTTACAAATTAATCAACATTGAGTTTAAAAAATATATAAAAGAATATATACAGTATATTTTATTTATGCATGAAGTTCAAAACCACAGAAAGCTGAAGTACAGAGTTTAGGGATAATAAAACTATAACGAAAAGCAAAGAACTTTCTTAACAGTAGGATAGTAGTTTCCTCTAGGGATCTGTGATCTGGAGAGGATGGGAGAGGTGTTCTGGGGTCCTGAGTGATTGTTATTACATGTGTGTATATTTGATAATTATTCATTAAACTGTACCATTTATGTTTTAGACACTTTTCTTCTCTATTGTTATTTCACAGTTAAAATACTTTTAAGGATAAATTCTACCTACAACCATGTAAAAAATTAAGCAAACAAAAATCTTGAAATGTATTAATCTGATAACTACAACAAAATATCAAAAACAATGAATCAGAGATCTCCGGGTACCCCAAAACAAGCCTATTTCTCACCCAAAAGAACTCCAATATACTTACAACCTTAAGGTCTTTGAGGTTGCTGCAATTCCAAAAAGTCAAAACCAACTAAATGTCAAAAATAACATGACATTGCTGTTTGAATATTGAACCCATGTAGCTAAATCAAGTAATTACAATTTGCTTTTGAGTAGAACTGAAATTTACTTTATTT